TGGGACTTCATAACCTAAAGCTGTAATTGGAGAATTAACAAAATATGTAAATTGACCAAAACTTTCGGAAGTTTGAAAACTTATGACTCATGGTCCATCTTGGGTACAGCCTTGGCTGGGCTCTTGTACTGCCCAAGGTGAATCCTTTGGAAACCTTTTCATAAATACCAACTTTATTTCTTTAACACTGTCTAGCCTCTGTTCCAGGTAACTTCTCAAGGCATCACTGTTCCAGCCCATTTCCCCACTAAGCCTCTTTAGAAATACTGCAGCATTAAAAGCCAAGTTAACATGGCCATAAATGAAATACCTGTGTTCACAAAAGCCTAGCTGGATCTGAAACAGTGAAGAAAAAACAAACAAATATTTGCAACATAATTTTTCTACTTACAGGTGTTTTGTTTGGTTGTCCCCCCAAAATAAGAAGCCATCTACACTCCAGAGATTCACATGCACCCCAAGTTCAGTATTTCCTATGAGCTGGAATTTACCATCTCCCAAAAATCCTAAGACATTCCGTAAAAGTTGAACTTTCCTCACTAATTGTATAGTAAAACTTAAAAATCTGTTATTTCATTTTCCAAAGATTTAATTTAGGATGTCCACCTAGACAGGCATCATATTCCTAAGTGTATACCTTTCCAACAAAGCAAAGTATGATCTTGTAAATGTATCCATCATTTTTCAGAGGAATTTTAGCAAAATCTTCTCTAAGTTTTTGTGCTGTAAATATAAAAAGAGTTCCTGTAAATCAATTATGTGGACTTGGTTTGGCACACTGGAATTTCCACAGTAAATCTGCTGTATAAAAGCTAACTGTTATCTACAATAAGATGCCAAAAAACCAATTCCAACTTACAGGTGTTAAATACACTAAACTTACCAGCTTCTACATATAGCAGATTGATAATTGACCATAGTCACTTTTTTTTTCCCATATTCATCAATATTTACATAACTTCTGATGAGTTTTAGTCAACAAACACAAATTTTAGGAATCCACAAGTCTATCATGTCATATCAAATGTGTATTCAATCCATAAGTCATATCATATTTGTATTCAAAGTATATGCAATGTACCAAATATGCCTCCAAAATAAAGAAACTATTACACAGGAGCAGACTGTTAATCAAGAATCCTATACCATCTCGAGTCTGTACATTCCTGTTTTCTGCTTGGAGTATTTTTCCTACTGTTTTATCACTGATACAACCAGAAACAATACTGTGGAGAGTACTAATTAATATAAACAATAATATAGTGTCCTGCACTTTTAGTTGGTTAAAGAAAGGACTACTTGAGCCAAAATAGGCTCTTGAATTATATAGGGGCAGAAACATGAGCACTACAGTGAAAGAAATCCGAATGAGGAAGATGTTTTTGCTTGTTTGTTTACATTGGAAATATTTTAGACACATCAGCTTTTAGAGAAGATTAAGGATGGAATTTGCAGGGAAGTTTAGAAGACATTGTCTAAATCCTTTGAATCTTAATAGAAGAGCCATAGAATCAGAGGACTGTTTGGGTTGGAAGGGACCTTAAAGATCACCTATTGTCAAACCCCCTGCCATGGGCAGAGACATCCCCACAAGGCCCTCTCCAGCCTGGCCCTGAATGTTTCCAGGAATGGGGCATCTACAGCTTCTCTGGGTAACTTTTTCCAGTCTTTCACAAGTGTCCCAGAAAATAATTTCTTCCTAACACCTAATATAAACACGCCCTCTTCCAGTTTAAAGCTATTCCCCTCAGACTATCAATAAAGGCCCTCATAAAAAGTCCCTCTCAAACTCTCGTGCAGCCCCTTTATTTACTGGAAGGTGCTACAAAATCTCCCCAAAGCCCTTCCTTCTCTAGGCTGAACAACCCAAACTCTCTCAGCGTGTTCTCATAGGAGAGGTGTTCCAGCCCTGGGATCATCTTCGTGATGTCCTCTGGACTTGATCCAACAGGTCCATGACCTTCTCACATTGGAGGGAGTTATGACCCTTATTTACAGAACTATTGAAGAATAGATCTGTCCTGTAAGGCAAAACTTACACAGAAGATTCACATAACTATTTAAACTCAAGAAACCACTGTTTAAAGGACAATTTTCTGAACGTTAACTTTTCACTGACTTTAGGCCTAATCAATTTTTTTTTTAATTTAGAATATTCCAACGGTCCAAACATCCTGCCAGCAACAAGTGGAATAATCCTGTTACGCATATTTTATACTGAATAGCAAACAATCAAAATAATCACTTGAAATTCTTTGATTTCACTGCCAAATGAAATACTACAAAGATTAAACATCACTACAAGCAGAGGATGTCAACAGAAAACTTAAAACTATTTGACACCCAGTATTAGGACATGCATAATGAAAATCAGTATAAATCACTTAACTATTCTCCTACTTTGTCATGCTGCTTATTTGAAAGTCAGTGGACTTTCTGAAAAAGCAGCCTTTTTGTAGTTATTACAATGTGACACTTGTAAAAAGTATTATCTAACAAGTTGGATTTTTAAGCCAATTGTTTAAAATTGGAACTTTGGAACTGCTCTTCTTCCTATTTGTATTTACTCTCTGAAATATAAAGTACAAAAGACAGACATTAACTTCAATCTGACAGATAAATACACTGAAATAACTGAAGAAAAAACATGTTTAGAAGAGCTTTAACTCTAAATGAAATTATAGAATATTATTTTTTTTAATATATTTTGAGTCTTCATTTACAAGACATGACCTTAATAACAGGTACATGTGAATAACACTTCCCTACAGCTTTAGAATTAGATATTTTTAAAAATCAGATATTTAAAAAAATTAGTCAGTTATTTCTATGGTCAATACTAGTGATATAAGTATGATGAGTTACATATGATATGTATGATACGTACATATGATATGTACGATAAGCTACAGGGAGCAAGTTGTCCTGTATCTGCTGTTGGTGAGTAGCATATCAAATGTGAGAAAAAAAGTCAATAAACAGTAAAAACAAAATGTAGTATCTTCAGAATTATTTATCTCCTAAGCAAGAGTCAGTGTAAGGAATAATACCCCTTCCAAGAAAACACATTCCTAGAACTGGACAGTAAATTCCTCATGAGAAGCTGTAGTACAAAAGGATTTACTAAGATTCTTATCCAATTCTGCAGAATCTACAGAAAAAATGAAATATTTCAGCTTAATAAAATTGAAGAGTGAATGTAGTGTACTTTTGCAAAGATAAGATGGGAGGTACTACTGGATTTCTAAGAAAATCCTAGTTGACTTTCACTGTAGAAAATTAACTATAAAACAGAAGAAAATTATTCATATACATTGTATGCAATATCAATGATGACAACTATTTCAATTATATTGTTGATACAACAAAGAAAAGTGTAAGTAAATGTGTGGTTTAGTCTATTACTATATATATTCACCATTTAAACTACATTTGTCTTAGCTCTCTATGGTTCTTTTCCCTAGAAATACAACTACTTTTCTTCATGTCTCTGAAAATACTTTGCTTATGCAAAAGCCAAGACACTCAAATCCTACATTAAATATTCCATCCATGTAGGTAAGAAAGCTCATCTTAAGGCTAGTCAAAACATTACTGGTGATGTTAGGGTTAAGAATCTGATCTTTCCATCAAATAAATGCAGTGCAGATGTGCTAAGAAAACTAGAATAAATACCTAGCCAACTGGAAATTTTCAAGTTGACAAGGCAACTTTACAGTACCATCAGAAATTTTTGGGAAAAATAACTAGCTAGTACTGAATGTTTAATGAAGTGCTTCTCCAGATGATTTTAATAGCCAAAATAATAATTCTCTAAAGTGTTTTCCAAATTAAATTGATGTCATAAGCTCCCTTAGTGCAGAAAACCAGAGAAATTAATCATCAACTGTACATGAAAAGTAACCATGGAATATAACACTTATAAAGAAGCTGTATGGCCTAAACAGTATCAAAATTCACCCTGACCTGCTCAGATTTATCAAATTATATTGCATAGCTCCAAAGATAGTTTCTCATCTGTTAAGGTCCACATATATACAGTATATTTGATTTCAAACTTAACTAGAAGATATATTGAAGTATTACCCTAATCTGTGCAGAGGAGCTGACATGATGTACAATGGCCTAAAGCTGGAAGTGAAGCCCCGTGTGGAATGACAAAACACAACTTCTAACAAATGTCAGAAGTTCTAAACTTCTAACACAACACAAACTTCAAAACACAACTTCTAACAAATGGTTGCTGCACTAATACCATATATTGACTTTCACTACTCTCAAAAAACATAATACTTTGGAAAAATAATAGCTGCTTTCGATACTGTAAGTCTGCCTTTTCTCTTAGAAAGCCTTACCTTAGAAAAGGTACATTCATTTTTAACAGTTCACGAATCCTAAATAAAATTACCAGGCACTAACAAGTATCTGTTCCCACAAAGGGCAATTTACACGGTATTAGTTTTCTTGACTACCATTTCTGAAAGGTTTGTTTAATTTTAAGTTTCCAAGTTTAAAACCTGTCTTTAAATTAAGTCAACCCACCCCATGTACCCCTATGGGAATTTCACATGCTTGTCTTCTCAAAAACCACACTCTAAACTTTCTGGTATATTTGGAAAGTAGTACGTTTTCCTGTGTCCAGGAAGCATTCTTGATGTGAAATGCACACAGGCACAATATTTCCATCTCCTTGCATCCCTTCAACCCAAAATTTCCATTACATTTAAACCAACTTGTGCATGTGCAAGCAGAAAACAGCCTAACAGATCTCCCAAGCCATAGATATTTTGCCTAACTTGATGTCTCCTGTAATACTCAGATGATCAGGGTTTAGCTTAAGACTTAAGAACTATGTTGTTTCAAAAGATAAAAGGAAAATTTAGATGTTAGAAGAAATAATGATTTATAAAAACACATTTTTCTACACAATTCTTCTCTACACATGCTAATATGCCCCGACACCTCTATCTCCAATTGACACAGAACATAGTTATACATACCACAGTTTGGTGGTTAACTTGAATCACTTCATCCCCAGCATGGATTTTCTTGCACCGATCTGCAGGTGACTGAATTTAAAATAAAAGAGATGATCAAGAATACAGGTCTTACCGGTCATCATCTCTCTTTCAGCAGTATGATTGCTAAGCTATGTAAATCAGGTTAGATTGATAGACATTCTACTGTGAAATAAAGAATGAAAGAAATGTTTAATAATCAGTTTGTTCTTGTTGGAAAAAAATTATATGCACTATTCTACACAATAAAATCACATGTTTAGAAAGGTATGAATATAAATGGTAACTGAGTCCTAAGGATTTCTTTTGAATTTCATCCTGACAAAAGGATGTTTTAACCTGCCGGACATATCTTAAGTCTCAAAACCCAGTCTGTGGATGCCTTTTGAAGCTATCAAGACTACCTGACAATTCTTCATAAACAAATTTCATAAAATTGTCTTTTTATTCTACATTATTTCAGTATGTTGCAGAGAGCTTTAGTAAATTATTGTTCTGCCAGGAGCACACAAGAAGAGAAGATTGGGTTAGATACAACCTAGGAAGACCAAGTAAGTTAATGGTAACTGGTTTTGGAACACTATTAGAGTGAAAGAAATGCAACCACCATACAGAATTCAAAAAAGCAAAGTAGTTTTGTACTTTGCTTTTGCCTCAAAAAAATTCTCAGTGAGAACAACAAGAAAAAACCAAATAAAAATAAAAACCACAACAAAAACTGCCTCTTTTATTAAAGTGAAAGCCCCACAAACTCTCCCTTCTCTGTTTACAGTAGACCAATTGTTTTCTGAGGGGAATAGCTGTAAGTTCAAAGGAAAACAAATTCCTTCAGTTTTTCAGAGTCACACTGATTTTTCTCACAATACTGTGGCTGCCAGAAGGCACTTAATTGACTCCACAGTAGAAGGTGAGACTGACAGTTTGAAAAAAGAACCCAAAGGAAACATGTTGCTCAGGAGCAGATTTCCAAAAAAACTGCTACAAATTTTATGTAAAGGAGTGGAATTAATTTAATTTTCAGGTGAGGTAGCAGTTCATCTAAAGAAAATGCTCCAGGCCTGAAATGTGGACTTTTTGCAATAACCTATGTAGTACATCCCCATTCAAGACACATGTCCCACAGCTAAGCCATGATTTTTAGTTGAATTGCACATAATTTATGGCCTAAGTTAATATCAGTGTACAAATGAAAGATATCCAAGAGACATGAGAGACTGAAAGTAGGATCACTCATGACTCATTTCTAGCAGACATTGCACAGAACATCCTAAATCAAACAGGGCTGGTAATATCATTTAACTTTATATAAAGAACACCAGCCTCGATATTTTGGCACTATTTAAGCAATAAAGGTACTGGCTGAGTGACCTGGGGAAATATTTTAACACTGGTGATTATGTCCTAATAATCTGTCTTCTGTCTGCCATTTCACTACTCGCACTTACTCATTCATACCTCTAAAATCTTTATAATCCTCCTATGTAATACAGCTCTTCTAGATCTGATGTAGTTACACCTAAAACTTTTAAAATGCAAATGCAAGTGAATTCTGTGTCATTACCCTTGAACTCTTCAGGACTTTATTACGATACATCCTTTGCTTTACAGTGTCTTCAGCATTTGCAGCTTAAATCTTGACAAAACGAGTGACGTTTGCCAAGATATTAAAACATGGTCTGAGAATCTTCAAACTGAAAAAATCTATGTTAAAAAATGCCTCATTGCAATTATGCCTCAAACACAAGGTGAGATAAAAAAAACGTGGAAAGATATCAAGGCTGTGGTCTTATGAAGGGGGTGTAACTCCTATTCCTTATTGCTTTTTCCTCTCCAGTAAAAAACAGACATTGTTTATAAAACAGCATCTTTTATCATGGCTATATAAGGAAAACAGAGGAGAACCGATAAGTTCTTTCTTTTTTAGATGCATATGCTGATCATTAAGCACAGAATCCACCCATGAAGTACTGCTAGGACAAACAAAGTGTGCCACACCACAACTGTATCCTCATTAGCTGGTAATTCGGTTCAACAGGGAGTTGAAGAGATGGAAGCACCTGTCACTGAGGCTCACACATCAATAACTAAAAGCTATCCAGAATCTGCTTAGATTTATGCTTTAGAATAATTTAGTTTTGTCCTTTAGGCTAAATGTCTTTTTCCTATACCCCTGGTATACCCACACTGTCTGAAAGTCCAGTTTAGAGCCCCTGGAGCACAATTGCTGCATGCCCACAGTAGAGATTTTGGCAGTATTTCTTCTGAAAATCTCTCTTCCCTGTGATCTAAGGGCACCATACAAAGCAAACCAGTAAGTGATGACACTGGGAGATCCTCCTTCAAAGCCAGATGCCTGCTGGAGATGCACTGCATACTATTACTTTAGAAAAATGCTGGTTTTTGTTGGAAAACCAAAGGACAAAATGGTCTTATTTGAAGGACACATTTGGTTGGTGAATTAAAATAATTTCTCCAACATGGTCTAAATGGGCTACTCAACAAGGAACCTGAAATCTTTTGTTGGACCAAAACACCCTTTTAGATTGTTACTTCCAAACAAAAGACAGAAGACATGAACTGGAAAGCTGAGCTTGCTCTAATGCTACAAGGCCACCAGAGAGAAGCCCTTACAGGGCAGTGACCTGTAAGGAACACTGCTCTCTCTCAGTCCAAGCTTCAGAGCTCAGCTGCTTTGATCTGCAGGGCTAATGTGTTGGGGGAGATGACTCCTAATGCCAGACAGCAAGATCCAAACTCTAATGGGCTTTGCAGCTGGATATCAAACACCTCAAAGGCCAAACAGAAAAAGCAGAACTGTCATTACAAAACTACTCTCTCACATTAATGTGGAGAGCACTACCATTATCATGTGTTTAAAAAGATGTATGTTCTTCTCCAGGATCATTCAGACAGAAAATTCTGTCACTATCTCACTTGGAAGAGAAGACTTGGAAATTAAAAGGACACAAATTTTTGTTGAAATGGAGGATCATTTGGATTCTTGTTTCCTAGAAGTTAAGCTGTACTGCAAAGAGTAAACATGTTAAAGCCAGCAGGTCAGATCACACGTGCACCACTGTGATCTTATTCTAGACATGCTGCTTAGATTTTTCTCCTCTTGTCTACCAGAATCAAAGCTCTGTGTGTGTGTGTGTGTGTGTGTGTGTGTGTGTGTGTGTGTGTGTGTGTGTTAAAGAAAGCAGCTAGAAACTCTGTCTTTAAAAGCAGGAGACACCCTTCTTTCGCTAAAGCACTGCTCATTTTCACAATTGCTTTAATACACAGCAGCTTTTTCCCTTGATAACAGAGTGCAGTTTCTTGGTCTGCCATGAGCACCTCCAGGGTGTCACAGCGAGTGAAAGAGTCCATAACAACAGCAGAAGAGTCATCATGACTGAAGCTTCCTGACATAGCTTTAAATTATATTCATGAATCACAAAAGATAAGGGTTTTGAGGGAATGCATTAGGATTTTATTTTTATCTTTGCCCCTGGGAAATTAAATCCATTAGCAAGTTATGGAAAGAAACTGTTCCTTCTTTAATTTGAGAGATTCAACTGTAAAAATTGTTCTCTTTATTTCATATATTTTCTAGATTAACTTCAACTGTAGTTCTGTTTGGCTTGTTTAGTTTTGCTAATTTCACTAATGATGTCTTTAGCTGTAGGCCTGACTCTCTAGAATTTTTATTTTCCTTTAAATTCCTTATTTTTCTTTATTGCAAGGTAGGTTGCATTCACACAAATTCTACTATAGGTATTATCTATTGGTTATGACCCATGAATATTCTGCCCACAGCAGAAAACAGAAAGGAAAAAGGCTATCAGATTGCAGCTCCTATGAAAGGATGAAAATAATATTCCTATTTTGTTGAGATGTTAACAGAACCTCACTGTAGATCAGATGCAGCAGCTGTAAATGTCATGTACGTAGTTTGCACTTCCCACAGGATGACACAGTAGCATGATAAAACAAATATTTTTGACAGCTTCATTTTAAGAAAATGCCATCAAAATCTTTCACAGGAATTGCCTAAACCAGTATGGGATAGTTCAATGTTGTTAGTGATTGCTCCACATTAATTGAAGACCATGGATAGAAGCCTTTTCCCCCAAAATTATAATTTTGCTTGACTCCTAACAGACAGCCAGTTCCCTAAATATAGTGTACAAAGGAGGTTGTATTTCAAAGGCTTTTGAAATGTAGTCTTGTTATGTTTTAATTGCTCTTTAATGCCTTCAGTGAGAATTAGTACACTGGTAATAAGTGTTCCTTTCCATAGGCATTACTCAGAAGTTCATGCAGAAATACATGGTTATTTGTCAATGTGAAGGGATGTCCATTTCCATGCACTCATTTATTAAAAGATGAAGCTTGATAGATGGAAAATATAAAAGCTGTTTGTCTAATACTGCAGCAAACTTCAGCACAACAGCCTAAATATAATACAGACATTTATCTTTTATTCACAGAGCAAAGTAACTCCAAGACAGCTGCTTCCTGTCTGGATCAACTAGAGCATTTCAGGTGTCTTGCAAGAACAAATCAAGACTGATTCTCTTGGTTCTTAAATGGGAACAACTCTTTCAATTCTGAGGTAAACAAGCACAAGCATTCTGCTGTCCAACATGCCATTGGTCCTTAACAGCCAACCAGCACAAGTTTGCAAGCAAAATGTAGTTTATAGCAAAGGGAAAGCATTAACCACAGGTAAGGTCAGAAAGGCTTCCAGGTCTGAACATACAGTATTAACAATACTTACATTTTCTGTTGTTCCAGTAATTACATGAAGACCATCATATGTTGACTTAATGTACATACCCTAAGAAAAAGACATTATGGGAAAGAATTTTTAAAGTGTTTCACAAACCATCACCATCCAAATAAAACTTGCATATTTCTTAAAGAATCACTCTTTTCTTTTTGCTTTCTGTAAGGTATGTGGACTTTAACACATGCCATAAGGAATCTGTCTCTGCATAACAAAGTGCTTTTTTATACACTTCAAGAACAGCCCAAATAATTTTGGCCCTAATTAGCAATAGAAAACTGTTTATCACAGTTATGTCCATAAATACTCCCCATTTTTTAAATACAGTTCTTCAACTACAAAGAGAACAATGCCTTCCAAAAAGCCCCAGAAATACAAAATGCCTTAGTATGATTGCTTTGAAAATTACATTGAGTTTTAAACGATCTGAGTCTTCAGTAGGCAACGCTGCAAACACAACTTTCAAACAGCTAACCAGTGCTTGGAATTGTGCCTGCAAAACGGCTGTAAGACATTCTCAATAGCCTCCTTCATTCCAATGAACACTTCAGCTATAAAACTCAGTGATGAAAAAATCAACATCAACTTTGTTAGCTACCCCACTTCTTAAAAAAAAAAATATGAAAAAGCAGGGATAGCTTGTGAACAGACAGAACTTCCTGCATGGGTCATCCAAAACAGTGTCTCAAATATGCCTTTGCACCAAGTTTCAATTCAAACATTTTAACAACATCCACTATGACACTGAGAGAAGGAAAAAGGAGAGATGATTGGCATATACTGAGCATTCAATAACTTCTGAGTAATCTCCTTTCCCTCAACCACTTTACAGAGAGCAAGTAAACACTGAGCACCTGAGTAAACATCCTCTCCATAACCTACTTTTTCTTGTTTTAATCCAAGTGCCACTGAGAAGTCTATCCCTAGCTGAGGAGTCCAGCGCACTCACTGGGGAGCAGTATAGCAAAGAGGCAAAGAAGACATATTGAGTTGTACTAATCTATATTGGGACCAGAACTGGCAGACATTTTGGTAGCAGATATGAGGACATACACATAAATTAACAAAGTGAATAATATCTCCAGTAAAACAAGCCAAGGACTTCCAGAGTTTCTCTGGATAGGGCTCAAAAGTGAACTCCTCTTCTGTTCTGCACAATTACATAGTGTTAATCGCATCAGCCCCAGTTATCATGTTCAGCTGCCACAGCTAGAAGGAAAAAAAATCCAGAACCTACTAATCAATACATGGTCAGAAACCTCCTGACATCATCTTTCAACTTCCAGCTCCTCTATGTACCTTCAGCGATTTGTCCATTGATTGGCTCCATCACACAGCTTTTGCTTAACTCAAATATAGAATGGCTTTTTCATACATTTATCCTCACAACACCCCTGTGAGGTAGGGAAACACTAATAATACACACACATCTTAACACTCATATACATATATCTTACAGGAAGCATAATGAGCCACACAAGAGGCTGAAATATGTTGGTATGTGTTCCTTGGTAGACACGCCTACCCTCAATCCACCACTAATGGAGACCTCAGTCCCTCTTAGGATCCCCATCTAAGTCACTGGGCCACACACCCTGCAACATGGCAAGAGCTAAATTCACAGTGACCATGGAGACTGGCACTTTGAGTCAGGTCCCCAAACAGAGCAATTTCTGAAGAAAGCCACATCTTTATTTTTATGCACAGTGAGTTACTGCTTTCAGCCTTAAACATCAGGTGAAAGCCGAGGGAAAAGTCTACACAATGGTTACATGGTGGTTCAGTTTTGTGCAAAGCATTGTTCCATAGGATAGTAAGTTCATCCAAGTGTGCTACCATTCCAGAGGACAATTCACATCCAACCTAGTCTTTCCAATAAATTTAAAATACTTTGAAAATGTACAAGAGGAGAAAGAACTTTGACAGAATGTTCTTAAAAAGACAGGATCAAGATTTTGCACACATTAAGAAAGAGAGGGAAGAAGGAAGCTGAAAAATACCTACCCTAGATTGTATTTATTCCACATGTGCAAAATTAATAAATGTTCTATTAGTACCATGTCACATTAATTTTACAAGCGCCAACATAATTCTTAATATAAAGCAGCTTTTAAATGAGGAGAGGTAACATTTTGCAACACAAAAATAAGCCCCTTTCACCCATGTTTCTTCACTCATTCTTTTAAGTGAACAGCATATGGGAAATGGTACAGAGAAGAGAACATTTCTGGCTTACAATTGTTTGATCTGGAATGGAAATAAGAATACCACAGACATTTACAAGTTTTCCTCTCTCTGCCTCCTTGTGGCTGCACAGTATCAATAGTACTTTCAGCAATCAAGAATAGAAGGGAGAACAGTGTGTGCTCTGTCCATTTGCACTGAAAGAAATTGGTAGGTACAGTCTTAGGTATTCAAAGGTAAGTCCCTAAGAATTTACAAGAATCAGTTCCACCAGATAAAAGGAAAGATAATTCAGTTTATATGACTAAAATAACTATAAGATAACTAACCTAGTAATCAGGAGTAAATGTATGCCTAGATTAAAAAATTAATAACTCATGCTTAATTACATGAGAGATTGTTGTGATCAGTTATGGGTAGAGCTCTAATTTCAAACTAATCATTACAATTTATCTTGGCGATATAAAAGAGATATTTTGTGCTTTTTTTTTCATTTTTCCTCCCTTTCTTTGTTTTTGTTTATATTTTCTTCAAGAATGAAAACAGAATGTGATATATTTCTAACATATTTTATGTATATAAATATATAATGTATTTCTTGATATTTTATGCAATGCTGGAAGGAAAAGGAAAGAAGATAATAATTTCATTTAATCACACATGTAACTGAATTTTTACTTTCACTCCATTTTCATGGAGTCCTCCAAAGCTGCACGTGCCTCTTTAACCACCAAACAGCTCTTAGAATGCTGTTCATAACTCTTTCCCAGCTCTTTCAGTATTTCAAACAAAAAAATTCAGGGGAAGTATCAGGAATAGTAGTACACTGGAATGTTGGAAAGGGAGTAGCCAGTACACTTTAATCAGCTGCCACACCCTGCTGTATCAATGACTTGTATTTTATGACCAATTTTTTACACGACAAGCTTTTGTTGTGTTTGCTTCAGCAGGCAAAAAGGAACCTTGAACAATCACTCTCGTATTCTGATGAATTTACCTTTGCATTTCTGAACCCTTGAGATCACATCACAGTCACTTACCTGACTGGGATGAAAATGATTACCTGAACAGCAAACAACTGAAAGTCAAGATTAGTCTTTGCTACAGATCTCTGATTTTCTGTTCTATATTACAAATAAAAATAAAGTAGAAAGTGAATGTTGTAGAAAAACTAACCAAGAAAAACTTGGTTTTCTGCTTTTTGTCTAAATATACTCACTGTTTTCAGTCAAGAAGCAACATTTTTAAGTCTGTTTCATGGTAAAACATACTACCTAAGCTAGTCAATTTTGTGTCTTTGTATATCAGTAATGTAAAAACACACAAAATTAAATTCTGCTTACTGATACAGATGAAACAACTTGCAAGTCCTCAAAGGAAAAAAAAAAAAGAAAAAAAGAAAGGGGATTACATATGGGAACATGTTGGTGATTGCAAAGTTGTCCATATTAATCAATTTTAAGGATTTTTAAATAACTTTCTACCATGAATTCTTTTTCACCCTTACTGCACAGCCACTGCAGGCTATATCTCTTCCCCCAGCAGCACTCACTGGAGAACATGAATGCAGCCAGTCACAAGAGACAAGGATAGAGGGAAAACAAAAAGGGGAAAAAAACCAAACAACAAAACCAATACCAAATCCCACCCATAACACTTCTTTACCCAATACACAAGAGGTTCTCCACATCACACCCTAACAGCATTTTCTGTATGACATCTTTAGTTGTTTGAAATGTTATCTAGTCAGAGATGTTAGCTAGTTTGAATATATATGAGACATAGTAACTAACACATTTACTTGTTTCTTCTGCATTCAGGTATTAGTCTGAAAATTTAGATTTACCTCTGACAAATACTTACGTTTCCACAGGAAAAGACCAAACACAGTGAAGGAACTATTTGTGCTGATTAAAATCTCCTGATCATACCAATCTTCTTTAAGTTGTAAAAGCTTCAAGCACTTTCTTAATTCCATCATATATTTACCATGAGTTTAGGGAAAGAGCATTGTTTTCCAACCTTTTAATTTCCTTCTCATGTCCTCTGCTTTTTCTCTCCCAAATTTACTTTAGCTTCTTAGCTATTGAATTTGAGATGGTAGATATTCTGTTATTGAGAGGCAACAAAAAATCTTCCCAGTTAGCAGCAATCTTTATCTTTTTCTTCTTCCTGAAGTCCTTCCGTTTTTACACATTTTATTTAGTGATTGGTAAAGCCAGTACAGAACTGTCATGTGGGTCAAAAATCTACAGGAAAGTTGACAATAAACCATTTTTCCACCTCCATCATTGCACAAATCCTGGAAGAAGGTCCAGAAACAAATAAGCTTCGCATTTATCCCAGCATTTCTGATGTGTAGAGAATATTCACAACTCCAAGCTCCACCATCAGCTGTTAAACCCTCAGCACTCAGTGGGGCAGGAATTAAGTTTAAAAAGCAAACAGAAGCCCAAGAACCCAAAAGCACATAAATCACCAAGAAGCACATGACACAGGTGATCTGTTGGCCAGACTGGCGTGGTTCCAAAGGGAAGGGGACGATTTTCACTCTTCCAGTGTGAATCCACATCCTTGGTGCCTGCTCTGGAGAGCTCACAATCTACAGGAGAGGCACAATGCCGAGGCAACATAATAGTGGCACGCAGGCAAGGACAAGGGGGAAAAACCATGACCCTGTCAAAATGGCATTGTATCCTTCTATGGCTTGTATACTGCATGGTTGCTATTTAACTTTTTTAAAAAAATACATATAATTATTTTTTATGACAATGACATCAAGACCGTGCTATATTGGTTCACAAATACATAAAAAACAAAAGCCCTGCCTTGAAGAGCTTCCAGTTTAAACAGACAAGACAGACAGAGGATGTAAAACAGAGGCACAGAGAGGGAAAGAGATTCTCTCATCAGCTACCCAGCAGGAACAGACCCATGAAACACACTCTTATTTACAAAAATACCATTCAACATTTCTCAGTCCCTGGGAGCTCATCCCAACCTACATGAAAACTTAAATGAAGGGGGAAAAAATAAAAAAAAAAACAGTCAGAAGACAAAGAAAAAAAAAATCAAGTTCAGATAAAACCGGACAGCACTCATAAAAAGGTGATCAAGACAAAGAGGAAGAAGATTTTCTCATTACAATAGAACAATAGAAGAAAGGGTTTCAAAAGGTTGACTGCAGTAAGGTGGTGGAAGAGTTAAAATTACAGGGGAAAGGGAGGGAAAGAAAGGGAGCAGAGAATCCATGAGAAGCTGAAATCCTGAAGGACAAGTTTAAAATGGATTCAGAGATAAAAAAGAAAGCCAGAAGAGGAAGGGAAAACAAACTGCAGACTAAAACAAATGATGGGGCCATATTTACTTATCCAAGTGTTTGGGGTTTTTCTCATATTTTAATTGCAATTTTCCAAAAGAATGGAAAATTAATTTAGTGCACAATTGCTCTAAATAACTTGGCATACCAACTTTGCCAAGAAAAACAAATCAACCCAAAACCCAGCAACAACCAATCATCTGCAAACCAAAATATTCTCTAAAACTACAACAAGCAGACAGCTTCAAAAACCTGCTGCAAAGAGTATGGCAGTCCTCCTTCAAGACTATTCAAGAATATGGAATGAGAATAAACTTGTGCAGAAGTTGCAAAAGCTATTTCTCTAGACAAAAAAATTTAACTGTATTCCAAACACCTTCTTTTCAACCTCCAAAAATTATGGAAGCAGATATTATTAATGATGGAAAGTCGGACATCTGGAATTGTTAACAGTGTTGGTTTTTTCCATGCAGCAGGTGTTGGATACTTGAGTAAACAAGAGATCAATGGTCAGCTCTTGAACAACAAACACAGGATGGCTGCATAAAGAGCCTTCACAAGTACCTGATTAAGAATGAAGAATTCTTGAGTTACTTATCAGCAGTGCTATGAAGCCCTGGAATAACTTATAAAATAGCTTTGTATCCCTGAGACACTATGAAACATTTTCCAGAATCTGACAGGTTTTGTGCATAAGCCCACGCAAACTTCTTGGTTGAGTTGATCTCAGTAATTTAAGTCCCTTCTGACTTCAAGATCCTAGAACAATCTGAACCATTTTAAGAAGCTGGTATAAATGGCAAGAATTTCTTACTCATTTCTCCCTGTTCACTAAACTGTGCATACTTCAGTCAGCTTTAGAAAATCCCCTCCTGTTGGCCCAGCTGCATGAGAAACCAAACTAGCATGAGGAAATCAGTCTGTTTTCAAACTTTATAACAGAAAAGGCTAAAATGTCCTATTCATTTTCATATATACAACTTATTTAAAAAACATCACTTTCTCATCCTGGATGATGGGTTTGATTAACTGCGTACTTCTTACCAGCCCTTCACTTGGCTTGATGTTTGTAAGCTGGATCACCTCAAGATGGGCAGACTGGGAAACCAGTGGATCAGAAGAGAGCGAGATAATGTGATCACAGACGCCAGAGAGAGTTTTACACTAGGAAAGAAAAAAGAAAAGGAAATGTCACAATAAGCACACCGTTGCTAACTATTCGAATGTCAATATATAGCTGAAATCACCATTTTTTTCACGTGCATACAAGGCACAGAGGGAATGCCTCAGGCAGCAATAATAATCTGTGATGACCCTGAACTAACAGCATCAAACTAGGGGAGAACAGGAGGCAAATGCTTTTGTATCTGAGCAGAGACAAAGAGGGGCTCCCACGCCCCCTCAGGGATAGATGCCCTGCTCAGGCACACAGGGAATGTGTGGTGAGCCCCCCCGCTCCATCTTTTGCAAAGACAGTAAGTGTCTCAAAGCCCACTAATTTCCATTGACTGTGCAGCTGTTCAGCAGAGATGAAAATCAGGCTCTTGATGATGACAGGTAACTCTCATTAACTCTGAAGTTGATTCTATACAGATTCCATACTATTTCTATACTATCCATCTATATGATTCTATACTAAACATGCTAATTGTCTTTGGACTGCGTTTCTCATGTTCTACAGCTGCCAAACACGATTTTCTATTGCAGACATAAAGCACCACTTCACAATGGCATAACTCTTAAACCAGTTATTGTTGGCAGCCTCTGCAGCAAGACAGAAAAAAATTCTAAAAAGGCTGAGACTGTGAAATTGGTACTGTTTTATCTCCTGATCTGTCACTCCCTGAACAACCTCTTCTCAGAAGCAGGAAAGCTGTGAGGCTTTCCTATCATTCTCTGTAAGAAAGTGATTTTTGAGACTTTCAGTGTTTTCCAGGAAGTCCCCTTTCAGCAACTTTAAACGATTTCTCTATTCAGATTTCCAATGCATCTTTTATCAGGGATTAGGAGATTTTTCTGGTCCCAAAACCTTGAGCATCTCCAAAAGCAATTAAGAACCATCTTAACTCCTCTGAAATTCAGAAGAGGAAATCTAACCAGTCTCCTCAAATGACTGAAACACAACTGCACACAACAGTTGCTCCAATCAATCTTCCAAGATTCCAAAGTATAATTCTTACAGTAAAAAAAATCTGCAACAATGCTATGGAAACATTATGTAAAACTGGATATTACCTCCTGCCAAATCACCATTATAATTCCAAATTGCTAACTACAAATATCTTACGTAAAAAGGAAAATTTTAAAAAAGTGATTAAAAACAAACAAACAGACCCACAAAAAAATAAAACCCCAAACCCAAAAAACCCAAAACCAAACAAAAACCCCACCCCAATAAACAAAAACAAAAAAAACCACCAAAAAAATCCCACAACAAAAAAATCCCACAAAAATCAAACCCAAAAAACCCCAACCAATGACAGTGACATCTTAATCCTATTACTGACCAGTACATTCTCCTCCTCTTTAAAGTATTTAAAAACAGTTGAAAGTTTAGATTTGTATAAAAAATTGCTTATTCTATTGAGCAATAATGTTTCAGGAAGAATAAGCAAATCAGAATCAAATGGAAAATATAACAAAATTTATAATACCAAGATGACCTTCTTGCAGAAAAAATACTACCTTCAAGCAAAGCCACATACACCACCCTTCTACTTTTCCATGCAATGCAGAATCATTACTGAACAAAGGACATCAACAAATATATAAAATGAGATTAAGAATGGTTTGTGCTTTACTTGAAGTACAAAAAAGTGAAAAAGAGAACTTTATTGAAATTTCGGCTTTTTTTAATGGCTTTTGGACACATGAAAATTGCTTTGAGCAGACATTTTTAAAAGGTAAAATTATATAAAATTACATAATAAAAAAGAAAGCTTAGATTTCTCTTAATTTGTGTCTTTAAATACAGTGTTGGCATGTTATTTCTATTTCCATCTTGGAACTGCACTGACAATAATTGAAAAATTGCTTAAAAAACTACAGAGCATTCAGCTATTTGTACAAAGTGAAGAGACCCACATTATAAATTATTTTCTGCAGATGAAAATGGAGTTTTTCATATCTGTTTAGACTTGTATTCATCCACCTATTCTTCCTATTAATCTCCTCTAAACCCATTAAATGTACGGAGTTCTTAGCAATTTCAGAGAAACTTCTGTTTATAGTGAATTAATTTTTTTTCTCCAATATTCAACTGTTGCATTGCAGAGAGATGCCAAAACACACAGAAAAGGAGTGTTCCTACCCCCTAAGACAAGGTATGGCATTTCACAGATGTGGTTCCTCATTAAAAACCACGTTCCCAGCTGCCTTGACAGATGATGGGGAAAGGAGAGGAGTTGGGCAAGTCCAGGATGTGGCATGGAGCAGAAGCCTGAGCTGAGATGCATTAAATACCCCCTCGGAGCAGCTGCACCTCTGCCCCCCATGAGAGGGGTACAGACAGTCTCTACAGTAATGCCTATGGTGATCAGCATTCCAGTACAGCTAATTGGTTGCAATCCTAAAACAAGGTGGTGTGAATATTCCTCAAGAAGACCTCTGGGAATATTGGGTGCCAAAATCACCAAGTTGCTAGGATAAAAAAATCTGCCATATGCTTCAATGCATTTCTAAAAGAGTATGGTCTTTTGGGTCTCACAGCTTTCTTAGATATTCTCACTGCAATCCAACATTAATTATAGGGATAATGCAACACATTATCCCTATAAACTTTTATACATTTGAATATTTTCCTTAAATATTCCTTGGTTAAAGAGCTGAACTATAAGTAGGATCAGGTATCTATTTGGTGCATGCTTAAGACAAATCTTCATTAACTCTGAAGTTGCCCAGAGAGAGCCGGGACAGTAAGGAGCACACACTTACACAGCAGATGTTCTCTGCCCACTGCAAAGGCAGGGTACCTAGGCCCTCGCTGGAAACATGTATAAAGGCTAACACAGGCAAAATGATGCATTTTTCCTTGCCTTTGCTCTCAGGAATATCTCATTCACAGTTTGTGCTGATAACATGCTAAGCAGAATGAATCAGCGTACAAACGAAACTGTCTGTTCACCAGGAAGGTGCTTCCTCCCAATTGGCACCAGTATGGAAAAAACCCTTGGACCTATTCAGTGGATCAGGGCATTCCAAGACAAAGATGTTGCCATGTGACAGAGCACTCAAACATTGCACTTCTTCCACTCATTTTGTTCCTAACGATTTCTAAACACATTATTTCTCAGCAGAATTATTCAGGACAATCTGTATCCTCGACATGTATTTTAGTTCCACTAAAATCAGATGGTAGTCACCTTTTCTCTCAAATTGTTACTACCTTTGGAGGCCTTGTAAAACTACACTTATGATGAAAACACTGTCAACGAGATCAGGATCCTTTATCCTTTGTAAGTGTTGATTGCCTGCTGCAATGCAGTATTAGTTACAGTAAGACACACAAAAGCTGAGGATCCAATTGCTCCTACAAAAATCATCAGGCATTAAAAATCCCCAGCCTTTTTCAAGCTGTACTCAGTTCCCAGTATGCAAGGTTATCTGCACACAGGGAAAGGATTTGTCCAGGCCAAAAANGTTGCAGTCTCAGTCCCTTAAGAAATTCTAAACCTGATATTGCAGAAAGCCATGGATATTTCATCCTCACACCTGCTAACCCTGGAGGGAAATATCTTTAAAACAATCTTCTGGGAATGCTTAAAAAAAATAAAAAAATTTAAAAAAATCCTTAGAGCACATTCCCAAGAAATTTTAGCAATCTTCAAGCAATGCTGTGCCTTTGAAAAGAAAAGGAAGCAAAAACCCACCACGAAAAAAAAAAAAAAAAAAAAAAAAAAAAAAAAAAAAAAAAAAAAAAAAAAAAAAAAAAAAAAAAAAAAAGCAAGTTACAAAAGATTAACTGAGAGAAACCAACAGATAATTACATTTTCTCCTTTTGTCACATGGTCCCTGTTCTCACTATGAGCCTTAAAGCAATGATTTCAGTTCTCTTTTGCAGTAACTCATCACTGCACTTCAGTAATAAATTCTCCTCTCTATTCAAGTGACACACCTATAATTGCAGATTGAAGCTACACCACAGTCTTTATGTGCAAATCTAAATGATTCAAAGGAGAACAAAAACTATCACCACACAGCACCTTGCTGTTTGGTAGAAATTGAAAGGGAAACATTATTTTTCCCTCAGTAGGCAACTTCTTTATGCCTCAAAGCATGAAGAATGACAGATAATATTTAGTTTCTACCTGTATTTTTGGACCGTAAGGTACCAATTTCTAACAGCTTTTCCACAATTGCTCCTTCTTTCAGACAGGGGGATGGGGACCTAAAGGTGAGTGAATTAGATTTACATCTGCTTCAATTCTCTGTGGCTGCTTCAGTTTGTGCTGGGAAAATGTCTGTGTTTGCACCAGAGTGAAGCACCTATGGGCACAGCCTCAGTGGCCTTTCCTCAACCTGTCCAGCCATTGTCTGCTCAACTCAGGCAGCTCTAGGTCACCAAGCATTTCTGGTCAAGAAAAGAGACTTAGCTTTGTTTCTGTCCTTCATTTTACCCAGGCTAGTGGTCAAGTTTAAAATCTATCTTGCCAAGTATTTGCAATACTGAAACATCCTGGCTTAAACATACTCCCAGGACTGAGGACTCCCTTATCAGCACCCTCACCTATGGCATTAGAGTGAGGAACAGGATACCAGTAAGACATATGGACTTTCAAGACTAACAGTAAGAAAAAATGTCTGGGTAATGTTAAGCTTAGTCTGTTAGTTTAGTTAGTAACAGCTGTCCAAGATGACGTCTAATTCATTAACTTAAGCCAAACCAAATAATATTAACCAATTAATTTTAGTCCAAAACAATTTTTATATTGTACAGAAAACATCATAACTCCAGCAGTCCTAAAACCAAGTGGACCTGAACATGCACTGGTGCATACATGAAGTTTGAACAGTGAACTACATCCGCTTTTGGCTGCAAAAGGAGAAGTTTCTATTAAACTGAAGCTTGTTCAGTTCAATTTACAAGGTATATGCTCTTCAAAGGCAGAAAGTGGTTACATTTTCTTTTTTTTTTTATGACTATAAAATGATACCTTTGACAATGTATTTTTAGTCCATTATACTTCTATAACAAATATTCAAATATAGTGGGCAGAAGCAAATTATTATCACTGTGGTTTCAATAAGGCTCTTGTAAAAAGAGAACATTCTGATCCATTGCTTGTTTTCTCTTTTTCAATTTAGTAACTCTTTAAATTTACATAGTTCATTTGCTTTTGAAAAAAAACCTCTGAGCATTAGCTCCCCTCTTTAGATCACTTTCCTCAGTGTTCAAACTCAAAAAAATTGCAGGAAATGCAGCCTAATTTTTAAAAAGGGAAACTCCTTAAGAAAAGAGTCCTTTTTTTCTTATGAAATTAAACTAACAAAGTTAAAAAAAATTATTACATTTTTTCAGTTAAAACATTGTTAATCTGACTGAAGCGTGGCTTCTACTTTCTATAATTAGTTCTTCTAGCTTTGCTCTCCTTTTAATACTCTACTGCTTCACATGGATTAATCTGAACTGGGTATTTCCATCAAATACAGCCTTGGACAGCTGGATGGAATCAATGAATTATTCTTCAAGTATTTTAAATCTCCAGTCAGAATTTTGCAAGGATTAACATACAATTCCCCAAATAAGCAGATATAAACTGATAGTCTTTTAAGTTGAGCAGTTTTCTAAATACTTCATCATCTCAAGTTAAATCAATATAAAGATTCTAAATATGAACTAGCATGAGCATAGTAATCTTCAGTTTTGAAGCCAGCACCACACCTATGGCTTATCCTTCCCTATTTAGGCCCTGTGTATTACTAAACCTGTGTTTCTTCAAGATATTAAAAAAATTGTGTTTTTTTGCTGCCACCTACTTCTGTTAGAATTATTTTCTAGTGCTATTTAATTTCTGTTTATATCAATAAATTATTATTAGTATTATTTAACTACATATTACATTGCTTACTTAGTAAAAGCTACCCCAGAAAAAACATACTGAGAAATGAAGCTGCAGAAGTGCAAAGCATTTCTCTTTATTAATGAATATTTCCAAATTCTAATGAGCAAAACCCAACACATTAATCCTGTGTGTTTTTATGCTTCTTATTCCACAGAAATGAATTGTTTCTGAGAATGAAGTCATAGACAAAAATCCCAAAACTTTGAGAAATGTAGTAGTCTTCAAATAATTTTTTCAACACTCCTACAATTCTAGGACAAAAAATTATAGAAAAGACATTTCTTTCCCTGGATACATTTGAAACTCCATTTAGAAGAAATAAACAAGTTCAAGTAGGCAATTTCATCTTAAAGCTTCATAATTATTCAATGAGACCTTTTTCCTTTAGATACATTTTATGTGTTTACTTGAATAACATAGATTCGTTTCCTGCCTAACCCAATACTGTAAGTGACAATCAAAATGCTTATTCAAAGCATTTGAAACTCATATTGCTTGGAGCAAACAAAAATATTTCTTCCTTGAATATAAACTGAAGATACAGAGTTCTGTCTCCCCAAAATAACGTTTCTTAAAAAGCAAATCCTGAAAAGCTACCTTGTGAATACATTAACTGACATTGAAACAGCTGTGGGGACAAAGTGGTTCAGCCATCTCCACATGTACACCTACACTGTCACCTCTGAAGGAAAGAGGGCATTAATTTGCTTTTCAAAAAAAAAATTAGTACTGTTAGAATATGAGCACATGAACTGTTTTTTGGCCTACCTAATTAAAGCAAACCAATCAGTCATTTATTTGAGGATCCTGCCTACTTCCCCATGCTTTAGATGAAGCCATGGAGACTCAGTGATGGGTTGACTTTGGAGCTTTCCTTGTATGTAATTCACTAGCAAAGGATGGTCTCGCATCCCTGCTGTGCCCTGTGTTCTCCTGCTCTCCAATTTGGCACAGGCTTACTCCAGGGGAAACAGGGCAGCATCCCCACAGGAGATCTGTGCTTACAGAGCTCCAACCTTTGATCCACAGCATGAGTCAAAAAGAAACCCTTTTCATTCCATGGACAATGGAGATGTTCAACCCAGAACACAAAAATCTACTACTTTGATCCAGCAGTATGCTCCTAAGGTGGTAAATATCTTGGTGTCCTGACAAGAAAGAGTGCACCACTGTCCTTTAAGGTTTTTTTCTTTTTTCATTTCTGTAACTCTAGTTCTATTTTACTTATGTAAGAAGGATCTCTTAAAATTTGACTTCAATCTTAAGTAAGAACAACATCTTTCAATAAGGATTTCCTTATGCTAATTGCCTGGAATGCTAATTGATTGTTAGTAATTTCCTTTTGCTTTTTTGAGAATCTTGTTTCCTTGCATCATGAAGAGAAAGTGGTACATAAAATTACAAAGGATGAGCCCACAGGTTTGAATTGAACCTCTTGTCTAAGTCAGCTCAGCAAACTCAGTTCTATGATTGTATGTAATCATTCAAAGGCAGCTGGATGGGATGCTGGTCAAACATCAATTCAGATGGGAAATAGACTCCAAAAATGGACTTGGAATTGTGTGATCTTGGAATTTTAAAAAAGAGAATTTCTCTCCTACAATATCTGTGCCCATGCCCTCACAATCTTTCCTATTTCTCCCAGTATTTCTTACTCAATTTCCTTCTATGCCTTTCCCACAATTTACTGTTGCTCTTTTTGTATCACAGAAACCCATTTTCACTGTTGAATTGCTCTCTTCAGATTGTCTAATGGGCTAAAGCCACTACACCTTTTTCTATCTTCCAAGGAAAAGGATTAGAGGGAATTGTGACTTCAATTACAATTCTATCATCAACCTTTTCATGTGCACATGTAAAAAACTATCTTTCAAACTGAAAATATGATGAGGATCTTGCCTACTATGATCTAAAATGCCATAATTTAATTATTTAGTCACAGATTTACTTCTTTTACTTTTGGTCAGCCTCTCCCCCATCAAATCCCACTGATCAGCTGATATGCACCACGGTCAGAAATGCTCCAAGTTACATGTAATCCATTTTGTCGTGTTTAATCTTTGTGGGGTCATTTTTAACCCACTGCTTCACTAAGACATTCAAGGCTCTGTTTGTGCTCATGTTTCTTTTCAAGCTTGAGCAGTGATCCCAGAAGGTACACTTATACCTATGTCCACCTGTGTCCACAAAGAAGTTACTGCAGACTAAAGAAATAAACCTACAAGAGTCTAAATGATGTAAGATAACTTTTGAAACCCGTCTCAATTTTGTGTACTTATGTATCCTGAATTAACCCCTCTCAGTTTCTTCAAAACTGTTTGCTGATAACTGTATAAAGTGATGTTTACTCAGTCCTAAATTCTGGCAGCTTCCTTTGCAATCCTTTCTGCCAATTTGTAAAAGGTATATAGTGTATATACGAGATTTCAGAACTGTCAGCTCTTACAGCAGACAGCAAGCATGCTTTGAAAACTAGGCTATATATATAGATTTCAAACTCATAGCACTTCAACTTCTGCCAAGATTATGTAATAAAAGATTTTATTACTTAAATACTTGCAGAGGCCAACCTAGTGTAGATGACGATGTCAGCCTCACTAAATTTTCTAACTCTTTATGTCTCACACCTGAAAAAATGTCAGTGAAACTTAAAAATACAAGGATACTTTTTATTCCACATCACTGTGAAACCAAAGCATCAAAAGCTTACAAGATTCAGCCTGTCAAGCATTTCATACAGGTACGCTACGAATAAAATGAATAACAGAAAAATAAGTATTTGAACATTTACTGGGAAGATCACTTAAAGAAATGCAGTATTTTCTGGCTTAAGGTCTGAAAACAAGAACAGTAAGATAGCAAAACTTACTTGAATGTGAAATAAATTAAACTAATTAATTACTCACCCTTAAAGAGATTATCTTCACTTCTAACTTTTAGAAACAAGCTGTGGTTAACTTAATACTCACTAAAGCTCAGCCACACTTGAAACACAATTTAATACCCAAACTTTGGATGCAGCTCTCAGACAAAGTTTACTCAAGTTTTTGACACTCTATACACCAGCCTTTCAAACTCATCATGTTTTCTGATGCCCTGATAACTTTCATCTGCTTTATTTACCACAAATAGCACTAAAGATTCTCAGAAGAAACTATTGTATTTATGCTGACAATTCAAAAGGAAACAGTGCATTAATTTTCCTATCATTAGGCTATCTCCTGGCTCCTATGAGGAATAAAGATGTATAAATTAAGCTATATCACTAACATAAACATAAATTATTTCAAAGAAGCCTAGCAACCATCTCTCTCTCAAAAAACTGCTTTTTAAAAACATCACTCTTCTAAACAGGGTTTACAAATAACAGATGAGTCTGAGCCAGACAAACACCAAACCTTTCAAAGCTCCTGACCTGCTCACAAGTAGTTCCATAAATTCACTCAGTCATACTCAGTCTAGTTAGTTGTCAAACTGCCAATGCATCCAAAAAGCACAAAACAAACAGCTCTAAAATCCTATGTGGTCTATACAAAATCGGCTATGAGAAATCCAAATGGTACTCACCACATGAAGAATTTTGTTCTCTGTTTCGTATACTGTGCAATCCTGAAAAAGGAAAGCAGAAAAAGCAGGTTAAATTGGTCCAATCATGTTCCCTTCCTTGGCTTACCCTTGAAAGAACAGAACTGAATTGAAAAGTTTTTAGGATGAAACAACGTATTTCAAAGACAGAAATATTTTAACAGAATGGAAAGTGTGAAGCTACCACTGAAAGGAAAGGAAATACTGGTAAATGCTTATAACTATTCACTAGCTCTAGTTGCTTCCTTTCTTGAGACAGACAACAGTCTCCCCAGTTTATATGCTTTTGGCAAGTACCAGTCTACCACATAAGTGCCTTCCACCAGGCATCCCTGAGCATGGACAAAAATGACCTGCTTCTAGTGGTCCCACTGGAAAACAGAGATACCAGCAACAGTGACTGGTATTAAGTGACTGAGATGAACAATTCTTGCTGAGCTGAACTGACATTTTCGCACACTGCTGAATAAGGGAAGGAAAACCTTGGAGGAGAGGGAAGAGGAGTTTATTGATAGTTTATAACACACCCTGACAAGAGGGAGGAGAAACACTGCACACAAAGCACACACATTAAGCCTGAGGCACACACAGCCTGCTGGGACTGGGGGTACACTCTCATTACCTCATGAAGCACGTGAGGCAGCTTCCATAAGCAACACCAACAGATGTTGCTGGGGTTGGGACTGTGAAACTTTTTCTGACAGGCCAGAATCTCAGTGGATATAAGGAAATAAAATTCCCAAGGCAGAGAGCACATGAAATAGAATCAATATTGGTGAAAGAACCACTGCTAAGTTCATTCAGCTGCTGTAACTTTGTGGTAATTGCTGGAAGCTCTGTTTAAAACAGATGCTTTATATCCTATCTAACAAACCACATGAAAGATGTGACTAAGTTTTCATGTTTAAAGTCTCGTTTTAAAATCAATTTATCCTGCTAGAAAACCAACCTTTCTATATGAAACTGTTTCAAAACAACAGAAAAATATTTTTTCATCCATTAAATACTTCAACTGTTACTCAGGCAAGAAAAGCCAATGTGTTCTTAGCCTGTAGATAAAGCCACCTATACAGAAGTAGCAGGTTGATCAGGAAACAGTTTCCTAATAACAGCTGTTGGCATTCAGGAAACATTTGCCAGTGAGTATAGCCAGAAAGAAAATCTAACACATTTAATTATATGCAGACATCACTGAAGTATTTGCAATCTTAGTAGCAAAAAACACATTTCATTGTTATATGTGGGAGGGCATGTAACATTTTAAATGTGGATACATCTATTTTCTGCATGGTTACTTATGAATCATTTTGCAAAAATAGCAGGAAGAGATTGCAACGTTTATATTGAAGAAAAAAAGTGCTTTTAGGCAGACATAATAATTTCATTGGTAATAGGAAGAGCTTACTATAAGTTTAAATACTCCATTAAAAGAGGATACTATTTGGGAAGTCTCACTACTAAGGAAAGAAGGATTTCATTTCAAACCTGTAGGCGTTTATTACAAACAAGAAAGTAGTGAATGACAGAGAAATACTGCTAGATCATTGAACTGAAAACTCCCTCACAACCATGAAGGAAGCTAAAGCAATATGCTTTCTTCTGGCAAACCAAGACTATATGTAAAAAAAAAAAAAACAAAAAACAACAACAAAAAAAAAAAAACAAAACAAACAAACAAACAAAAAAAACTTCTGAATCCACGAAAGATAGTAAAACAAGTGGAAAACTTCTCAGTCATCCAGTCTATTAATAGAGTCATCCTGAATTTCCCTCCTCAACACACAATTCCCTACAAATCCAGGGTCTGGGTAGAGGAATTGCTAAACAAGTTCATCACATAGTAACAGCAGATTGTTGATACTACATCTTTGCATTCAGGCAAAAGGAAAATTAACAGTTTAGTGAACCATAAAAGACAGAAAGACTGGAGGACAGCAGATGCAACACTTAGGTAAAAAAAAATTACAAAATACACTTTCTATACATTAATGACATCCAACTAAACATAATTCAAGCATGAGCTCTGGGAAATGTGCAGGAATGTCAAGAACCATGATGGCAACCCAGAGCAGCCCTGAAGTCCAGGATTCAAAGAAGCTTAGGAAAAGGTCACCAAGCTGATCCCTCCAGCTTGTCTCCACTTCCTGCAGCCATCCCTGGAGTTGAGGGCTGAGACTGCTTCTGAATGACCCCAGGAGCAAAAATCACATGCCACTTTCTGTCACAGGGATCAGTTTCTTTCCCCTTTGCTGCCTTGTGCTTTGTCTTTAAGCAAGGGCTGAAGAGAACTGTGCCCACCCTCCACAAACACCCTTGGTGGAATGGTAGGGTTCCTGCTTATTACTGGGGGCCTCTACCATTTACAGTTATTGCTTTTTTATACCCATTTCATCTCACCTAAAAGAGCTTAAAGCACTTGAGAACTATAAAAAGTCTCTAACTATGCAATTAGAAATAAATTTTTATTCTTAGTAGCGATTCCACCCACACCTGGAAAATGTCTTTTTCTTCCATACAAGCCTATATCTTACTCCTGAAAGAATTTCTTTAATATCTGTTTAACTAGAGTATCAAAATATTGCAATTAAGGTAAGAAACAGATCATATGCAAGTTTAACATCAACTTTTTTTCTACTTTAGAAAAGCAAGAACACACACAAAAATCTGCAACCAAGTTTCACTCCTACATAAGCTAAAATTTTGCTATTCTCTTAGTTAAACCAATACAGTGATTATCCCTGAACTGAAAGGCACGGTTACAGCAAGGAGGAGATGTATTGCTTCTACGTGTTTATTCTCTGAACTTTGCATATATATGCACTGCCATACTGTAAGTATAGCTAAGTTATGTGATCTTCTAACCAACCAAACTAAACTTCAGCTGAAACTCTGTTAGGTTATCTTCTAATTGTGGATTATTTTCTAAAACATTAATGACACACACGTTAATAAAGCAAAAAAAAGTAGTTGTGTTAATTTACATTTCCTGAAGATATGGTCAAATACTGGTCATTAGTAGTTTAAGGGAGAAAAATGGCAGAGTATCATCCACAAGAAAAAGGAGAGATTTAAAAGGGAAATACATAGAACAACTTAATAACTAATATCAGATCTTCATGGTCACTCTTTCCAGCTCTGTCTCATGCACAAAAATGAAAAATGGCAAAAGCGACCTTTGTCATACAGCTGGAACTAGGCTAAAATCCTAAACAAAGAGAAATAAGAGCTCCAAAACCAGAAGGAAAAAAAAATAAGGGAGGAAGATAAGAGCAGCAAGAACAAACCACACAAATCAAGGAGCAGGTTCTTCTGCATTTTCAATCCAAGTACAATTTCAAAACCTAAATTTAAGACTAGCAAGACCTACACCACACTGTAGCTGAGAGGCATTGCTTACTTATTCCAGAAATTCTGACCTTCATAACCTTCACATGGCCTCTACAAAAAAAAAAAAATTAAGTTGTATCTGCACAGATCCTACCATAATGTCATAAGGAATAATTGCTGAAAACGTTTAAATTAAACCCACTGAATCAGAAAGCACTGACTGGTAACAACACTGCAAAATGTACAAATTTTACCCATCCCATCCCAGACATTGCTGGGACAAATCAGACATGAGACAACATATATAAAATACAAATATCTGTGGACTTTTTTTGTTTTCAAAAGCAGTGCTTATGATACTTTATTTTTCCTTTTGTTTTTTCTTTTAACCTCAGTATTACCACCTTCTTTTTAAACATTTGTCTTAGTATCTCAAAGAAGTGGGGAATGGGAAAAGCTAATTACACTAGTACTTTTCTTACTCCTTGTTTTCTTGTCACCCACATTGATTAAGTCTCAACTCAAAAAGTGAAGAACTGAGACAGACAATCTGCCAATTTACCCTACTGCTCCCGTGCCCCACAAATAAAAAATGTTCATGCAGTTCTCCAGTACTATAACTGTGGGATAAATATTCTGCAGAAAACATTTCTATTTTTGCATCTATATGATCTGGTTTACAAGTCCAACCTGTCAAATTAACTATTGCATTTACCTGTCAAACATTTCTCTCAGGATACTTGCAGGCTATAATCTTAAAACTTTCCATCATTATTACCACTACTACAGCTATTAATATTATTCATGGTTTTGCCTGGTATTCCAGACAGCTGATGCACTGCACTCTTCTTGGGAGTCTTAAGTTCCTGTCAACTCTATACTTTACTTTATAATAAAATTATGCTAGTTCAGAAAAATAAATATATACATAGAAATAGTTAATGGATTAAAAAAGGGAGAAATGCAAAAATATATGCATTAAATCTTTCACCAACATTTCAGCAGTTTTAGTAATCCTTACATCACAGTACCCAAGAGATGGCGTGGACTCCTTTCATTATATTTTCTTGTTCAGCAGAATGCCTTAGTTGCTAATGTATATGTAGTCATCCTGATTTATTTTTTCCTATAGGGTAAGGCAAATTCCTATGTAGAACTGATATAGAAGCAGACTACATGATTTTCAGGAACAAACCCCGAAAGTCACAATTGTTAGATAACATATTAACCTAAAAATGTCCTTTGTAAATTCATATGATAGTAGCATTGCCTAAAAAGGCAGGCTGTGTGATTGACTCAACTGAAGCAACCTGTGAAGAACAAGAGCTTGACATGAAATCATTAATTCTCTGGGTAGCTTTTATGATGCTTGTAGTGGAGCTCCTTCACTTATTTCTTCATTCATTTTCCTCTGCAGTCCAACTGAATTCACAGGAAGCTAATATACATATGTATGTTTATGTATGTGGATATTGTACCATTTTTTTCAATATGTTGCAAATAAAAATGTAGGTAATTTAACTATTTTAAAAGTGGTAGTAAAATTACCTGGAAAATGCATGAGAAATCCCACTCATCTTCCATGTCTAGTTTTAAGAGGGCTAGATTTTACATACTGGTTAAAAATATGTCTGAAAGAATTATTGTCACCATTATTATTCAAGTCATGTAAAATATTCTAATCTATGCAATTCCAG